AACGTTATGAATGCAATACCGCAAATGAAAATGACAAAACTCTGCATAAGTATAAAAGTCAGTTTTGTAATGTTTACATGTAGCGGTTAGGAAACGAAGCACAATCAAATCATCCAAATGATTGATGGTTACGTGCCAATGCGACTGCTTTTGAAAGACAAGCTTAAGAATGACAGTAACAATTTTGCAACATTTGACAAGCCGCAAACGTTCATTCACGAATCCGACAATGACCACACTTGTTGGAACAACAATATGGGCACAACGCCAGCTTCAAAGAGAAAACCAGAGGGGTTTTTTTACGATTTTAAGTTTTTCTTCCATTTAGCTTTATCAAAAGGCAGGAGGCAACATGAAAATTTGTGCTCCATCAACTGTGAATAAACGATGCAGACAATTTGTTTTTGTTCAATGTTATACGAGTGACTCAACCTACTCTTGTTTTGACAAGAAACTTTAGATCCTCTGGTGGGTGAACCAAAAGCATAGCATGCATTCAGTACCCATTTACTAACAGCTTAAATCTATTCAGTAATTATTTTAACTGCACTGCATTTTTCACAACTGCATCGTTGTTGAAAGGCTACAGCGATGTAATGTCAGAATGATTTGCGGTAAAAGGCGAAAATGCAATTCAAAGATTCTCCAGAGTTCGGCAATGGTACATCACACTTCATTAGCAGGTGGGCGCTGAAATGTAAAAGTTTAAAGTGGAGACAAAACTGTCTGCAGCTGTTGGCTCTTCACAAATGTCAAATTGGCTTGCTGTTCTAATTTGACATTCACATAAAAGTGTTTGTACTGGCAGACTGTCAACTCCATGTTTTATTAATAATGAAGAATATCAAAATGAGTTTCTTAAAAAAAAAACGTTGGCATACTACTGGAGTCTGCTCATCCCCTTAACGTCAAGGTTGGAATCAGCAGAGAGGGAAATAAACAGCGTGCAAAAATGTGATACAAACAGAAGAGGAGGGAGGCGATAGGAAAAAGAAATCAGAGGGGAATAGCAAGGTGGAAAGATCCAATCTCTCTGGATTTATTAGGGCTTAATAAAGACAATTACGTCTACTTCAGGGATCAAGTCTGACCAATAAGACTGACTAATTTAGTGTTAGAGTATCACAACTTGGCAATTATTTCACTACGGTCATGTAAATGCTAAATATCAAAGGTTATCTCTACCCTGTCATAGTAATTCAATAAAACCTTCTGCTAGGGAAGAAAAGAGCTCTTAGAAAAGTGACCCCTGAGCTAACAATGGAAGCGTAACTGCACTTGTACAAAAAACACATGCGCACAGACCCACACACCGATCACACAACATCTGTGATAAATGTATGACACATAGCAGTCCCACAGTCTTTTTCATTACATTCTTCTCCAAAGAACTCAGAAACAAAGGCCCGAGATTAAACAGCTCTCATTCGCAATGACTCATTAGTCTCACTCACTCCTCACTCTCTTCATGATCAGTCTCTGCTCTGTGTCTCACTTATACAGGACAAGGTCATTTAGGAGTCTGTGGAGTGGGAGAAAGAACGATGAGAACGGGAGAGGAAGGATATTAGAGGAGTGAGGAACTATCCTTCAGGGATTTTCACTACAACAAAACCACTATTTACACCCTAATGACAACCATCTATTCTGTGGATCTATTTTCATTTAAATTCAGCCACTCCAGAGGGACAGAAACCAGAGGACTGGACAAAAACATGTATATGTTCTGCATAAACACAGGTCTTACACATGAAGCACATTATGGTTTCCTATTCCAAAATCATGCCCGTTGCTTGTGTGTGGTATATGATTGCATTTGACTTTCATCACCCTGCTGAGAGTGTGTGTGTGTATGTGTGTTCATGTCTGTTTGTGTAGATTGGGTGTGCTTGTGTCTGCCTGTTTAGAAGAAAGACCCAGATCAGAAGAGAGATGAATGAACCAATGCATGTGAGCCAATCTCAACAGGTCTGTGGCTGAGCAAATTCTACATCCCATTTGTAAGAGAGACATACAGATAGAGACGAGTTATAAGGTGAGATATATGTACAACTGTGTGTGTGTGTGTGTGTGTGTGTGTGTGTGTGTGTGTGTGTGTGTGTGCACGCGTGTGTGTGCGAGAGAGAGAGGGAGAGAGAGAAAGAAAGTGAAAACCCTTAAGTCTCAATGCTGAAGGCAAACCATTCATCTTCCCTCTCATATGCTCTTCTGGGCTTCAATCCCAGTCCCAGTGTGTGTGTGTGCGTGTGTTTTTGTGTGTGTGTGTTCGCATCTTCCAAATATGGAGAGCAGTCTGAATGATGAACATGATCTCCATTGCAGCAGAACAATACTATTTCTAAATAGGACATGAGAGGCATTCAGTGTTCCCTCATACACTGTGTATGGGGGAACCAATGCTTGTTTGCAGGGGCTCAGGCGCACCATGTGCAATGAGGCATCTGCTGCAGGTGATAGCGAGTGTGTGTTTCTGTGCAGTTGCGTGCATCCATTAAGTGTCATTCCCAACGGCGTCCAAAGTTTTTGCTACATCAATCAGATGCTTATTCAGAGAATGCTGGGCGTCACTCTTACAGTTGGGCAGGTGGCACCGAGCAGCTGGGTGATGGCTGCCAGCCTGGCCCCTGGCATCACCTCTGCTCTGAGACCGCCCAGGCTTGCTCTCATACACCTGCTAGCTACCTGCCTCTGGAGCTTTTCACACCTGGATATTTTTGCTTCTCACCAAACACAACATCCCCGCACCTGTTTAGTGGAAGCCTACTGTGCTACACCACCTGTTAATTAACTATGAACGGCAGCAGCCCTGCATTCTGTATCCTAATCCACAAAGACACAATTAATAAAGAGAAAAAAGTAGCTCACAAAGCTGTGTTTGCATGTATATGAGTGTGTGTATAACAATCATTTCTAGTCAGGGCTGCAGGTACTACCTTAAAAAGTAGTGACTTATTAAATTCAGAGTAGTCTTGCCTTTATGATCTGATACAGTAATATGAGATTAAAAGGTCACCTTTTTTCAATTCTAACATTTTACATATCAGGGCATAATAAAATGAATCATCTGTTCCTTCCCAGGTCTTACTTTTTTTTTTTAAATGTGACCTCAGATGAAAAACAGCACATAACAAAATTGCATCATGTCATTATTTATGTCACAGAAATGAACCCAAAATGCAGAAGCCACATGTGGAAAAACTAAGTACACCCTTTACTTTTTCTTGTCTGTTGATTCCTGTGGAAACAGAAAGTACTGCTAACCAACTGCACCTCATTAACTGATAATCAGCAAGTGTGATCCTCTCCATAAAAACAGAGGCTTTGGCAGTTTGCTGGTCTGGAGTATTGAGATGTATGTTAACACAACACAAAGAAGGCATGACATCAGTAATGACCTTAGTGAAGCAATTGCATCACCACATCAATCTGTGAAGGGTAATAAGGCCATTTCCAAACAATGTGAAGTTCACAATTCTATAGTGAGAAAGATAATTCACAACTGGAAAACATTCAAGACAGCTGCCAGTCTTCCCAGGAGTGGACGTCCCAGCAAATTCATTCCCAGGTCAGACATGCAATGTTCACAGAAACTGCAAAAACCCAAGAGCCACATCTCAGACTAAACATGCCTCAGTGAGCATATTAAATATTAAAGTTCATGAGAGTACAATTAGAAAAAGACTGAATGAGCGAAGTGTTGTCAGGAAAAGGCTCTTATCTCTAAAAGATTGGAAAAGCTGCATCTGAATGGACTCAGGAACAATGTCCTTTGAACTGAGGTAGTGATCTCTTGCCATAATCCACAGCACCACTTTTTATTAAACCTGAAGCGTACCAGCACAAATGCCTACTGTCAAGCAAGTGTGGTGGAGAAGTAAAGATCTGAGCTTGTTTTACAGCCATATGACCCAGGCACCTTACAGTCAGAGTAAACCATGAACTTCTCTTTATATCAAATTATTCTAAAGTCAAGTGTGCGGAAATCTGTCTGGCGGCTTAAATTTGGCAGCAAGACAATGAACACAAGCACACCAGCAAATCTATAACAAAATGGCTAAAAATAAAAGAAAAATTAAAATAAAACACCAAAAATCAATGTGTTGTAGTGGCCAAAGTCCAGATCTCAACGACATTTGTTTAACAAATGGATGGGATGTACTTAACTTTTCACACACTTCTTCTGAATTCTAGCCTAGTTTTTGTTTAAAAATAATAATAATAATAAAAAAAATTAATAAACTTCAACATATTACAGCTATTAACTGTATATAAATCATGGACCAGTCACCATACTGGGACACATTGAGGTCATACACTGTTTTTTTGTGGATTCCTGTTTTTAAATCTCAAGTTGAGCATTTGAAAACAGACAGGTGGCAGATCTGATCCAAACACTCAGGACAACAGAATTTTAGCAACAATCAGTCACTAGATAGCCATTCTTTATGCCATACCCAGCTTTACCACATTTTGCTTTAAATGGGACCAGAACACATATTATGGTGTATTGAATAAAACTCAAAACTACCAGCTAAGATCAGAAACTCACTAAGTAAATTGCTACTGAGGTATTAAATCAAACCCAAAAGAGAAAAAAAACATCCTACACTGTCTGACTTCTTTTTATAACCAGAGAAGTCACCCACTGCTGATGATTAGAGAGAAAGCAGACTGAAAGCACCTCCGCAACGGTCTTACTTTTCAGAACCTCGGGCTATGTCTATTTTTTATATACAGTCTGTGGTTACTTGGCTGCCAGTACTGTGCATGCTGAGTCACTTTCATTGTGCTTTTTTGACTTTAATGTCAAAATGCTGCTATGATGAGGGATTTCTCTTGTGATGTGAAACTACTTTCATGTCACAAGAGAAAAAGATTTTTTCTCTCCTTGCAGAGTAATCAGTGAATTAACCACATTACCCTTTCAGTTACTCATCAGTTAAATGATGAGTAAACAGTAATATCTTCAAAGTTGTTCCTGACTTTGATGCTGCACTTACCTTTCCTCTTGGAGTCCCGTCTTACGCTGCTGGGCCTGACCGCTGGTTGTAGCTCTGTCTCTGTTGACATCCTCAGGCTCCAACTGGTTTAGACTCCGCTCCGCTTGGCTCAGCTGGGATCGGCTGGGCTCCGAGGGTCCAGTTCACAGCGTCAGTGCCGGCTGTGCGTGCGTGGCCGCCGGGTGTGTGCGTGGAGGCGCCAGGTGTGTGTGTGGGCACACAGGCTCATGGGAGAGGGATGGGCTTTAGCCCTGACACAACATCCTACACACACCCACAGAGAGCTGGAGGAGAAAAGACAGGGAGAAAGAGGTTGGCGTCGGTGAGGTTGCGCTTACTCTTGGCAGGTGAGACCTAGAAAGAGTTCTCAGCAGGCATTAGAATGACTTCGTCTCTGATCTGCTTTGAGAAGATGTTGCCAATGGTAACAGACTAGAGAGACCTCCACTACACTTTCTGCTTTCTATCAATAATGTGCCTCAGCAAGAAATTTTCTTGAGAAAATGTTCTTCCTCTTGAAGCCAGGTAACCAGGAGTCAGATTTAAAAGTACTAATAATGCATTCAAACGTTTACACATGACGTAATCTGTTAGATCATTATTATGTTGGTTTTATCTTCCTATACTCCCCAAATGTTTGGCTATGACATGGGAAATCACTAACCTAATGTCAGACAGGGTAAGAAACACAAGTGTTTTTAACAAGCAGGTGGAACCAGCAAAGTAGTATCGACAGAATATCTATACCGCTTTATTTGCAGGTAAAGCCAAGCATGAGTTCACCTCCAACATGTTGCAACAATCTCTTATTGCACAGGAAAACTCTGTTTGCACAAACTAAAGGTTTCAGGAAGAAAAATTGTTAGACCCGGTGCCTGTGATAGCAACATCTACCTGCCATACCGCATGCCGCAAAGATAGAACAGTAGAGCGGCATTGGCGCTGCTCTCGCTACTTCTATGACAATGACATAATGCTGCTGGTGAGAGGAAAGAAAAAGACTCACTGGGGATTTTATTTCTCACTTTGAGTCTGAACCAAAAGTAACAGGAAATAACAGCAGGGGAACACGGTTAACCTTGTTTACAGCTATGAACGATTTAATGACCATAAGTGGACCCATACTTGCTGAACAACAAAAGATAAAACAATTATAATTCACAACATTTGCTTTACTTCTTCATAGTTCTGCTTAAGCTTCCAAAGTGTTTTTATTAGCTTGAAAATAATATGCTCGGGTTGAAACATTGCTACAGCACCCTACAGTAATTCAGAGCTGAACCAGGAAGTCGAAACAGTGATAGAGAATTATGACAGACAATTTGCTCCCTTTATCTTTTCTAACAGGTCAATTTTTTTTAATATTTATGCATTCTGTATCCTGACAGCAATTATCTGATATCTTAGCAATTAACTTGAGGGTTCCAGTGTTATTATTACGAGCACGAACAGAAGCTTAAACTAACAAGACCAAGGTTGTATTAATTTCTTTTTAATGCTAATTCCAGCTGCCCTTCTTAGGACTGACAGGCCCCTTTGGCCCCAGCATTTTGTATTTTTCCTGCCCATCTGCTGCTACTTATTCCTAAGTGTTGACTGGCAGTGACTACCATAACTTAGCAGCCAAAAACACTCAGATTCACACTTTAATGCTGTTGTGTGAATGCATGAAAGCACGCTCATTTACATGTGCACACAAATCCAGAATAGCTTTTTTTTCTTACTTGGAGATGGTAAAGCACAAAGACGGGCAGCTGCAAGCTGACATGCTACATAATGAATCTGACTACCTTCTGAGCTGCTCTTCCAATCTTCTTAGAATATAAGTCTTGACCTCTCTTTCCTTCTCCGTCTCCATCTAACAGTGGCCGAGTGCCGATTTAAACAAAACCAAAAGACTTGTGCTTCTTGGGGAAGAGGGAAATCTCTCTTATTCTATTCCTCCCCCTCTCCACGGTGTTTTTGTGTGAATAGGAGGCCCCTGTAAGCCTTGGGCGAGAACAGATGAATTGAGAGGCTTTTAATTTGCTGCAGACAGAACAGAACAGAGTCCATTTAATTCTGCCAGCAGAGGCCATGTCGGCAAAATGCTGACAATATTCTTTATCTGGTCCAAACACACTGGAAAAGTGTGAGTCACTCCAATTACAGGCATTATCAGCAGCACTGTTCCACCAAATGGATGGAGAGAGAGTGAGTATGAAGAGAGAAGGGTTAGAGGGAAGAGAAACGAACAGAGTGGAAAAAAAGTGAGGGGTGAGGGAACATAGAGCGGGTGAGAAAGACAATGAGCGAGGGGTAAAAAGGGAGAGAAAAAAGCCCAAGGAAGTAAAATCAGAAAAGAAAGGATGGGGTCTGAGCAGCTTCAGCTTCAACCCTGAACATGTCCCCTGTCCGTCTCTTCTCCTTCCTTTTTTTGTTCTCTGAATTTGTTCTCCTCCTTCTAGCTGTGAAGTCTTTCATGAAGCATCTGGAGCTCGTGTTTAAAAAAAAAGAAAAGAAGCAGTCTGTTAATCCTCAAACTGGACCAGAGACGAGGCAGTCCAGCAATTCTCACTGCACACGCACAATCTACAACCAAGCGCACACACAAATAAGACCTCGTAGACAAGTTTCTGTAGCGCAACTTTGATTTCACAAACAAATTTAGACCAACTTCAAACTGTGAAATGGGTTCACAGTTTACATCCTGTCTGCAAAATTACTCCTGTAAGAGAACAACTCACTTATTTAAAGATGTTCTACCCATCCAAGCATTACAAGCAAAACAGCCACTACTTCACTGGTGAAAATGAGCAAGAAACAAGATTGTGAGACTGAAAATGAAAAATCTGCTGCAGCACAGCTCTCCAGACATATGGTTGTTTCTCTAGAGACTCGGCGAAGAGTTCTACATCTTAAGCTACCGTCCCTGGAGAGGAGAACAAGCTAATTTCTCAAAACACAGTCCATGTCTAGCCTCAGCTGTACAAATTCCCTGCCTTGAAAGCATGCACAGATAAAGTGAAGGAAAGAGCAGCACCATCAAAAGCCATCGTGAACGCTGTAGTGGTGGTTTGACCTGGAATCAGCGCGCACGATAAATGTAGCAGCAGAGCAGGATGTGAACATGGCTTAGTGTGTCTGGATTTAGACAGCAATCTGAAGCCACGCCAGAGGAGAGGCATAGTGCAGGCAAGGAGGAGAAGGGAATGAGCAGTAAATTGGACGTCCGTAAATGGGGCGCTGCCAACAGGCGCTAGCGGGAGATGTGACGATCTGCATGTGTGTGCACGCGCTTCACTGTACTGTATGTGTGTATGACTTCATAAACAGGATGCTGCCAACAGGAGCTTAATGCCCAGAAATCATCTGCAGCTACAGGAAAGTATGCCAAGTGAGTGGAAAGAAAAATAGAAAGGAAGCGAGAGAGAAAGGGCGTGCTCTCTCTATCCACCTCGCCTTTCTCCCACCTCTCACTCTTACAGGGTAATTGTGTTCCGTCCATCAGGCTCAGAGTTAGATTGCTGGCTCCACTCATTCGGCTCTCCTGCCATCTCAATAATGAATAATCATAAAGACCCCCTCTACACTACTCGCACACGCTGTTCTCAATACTTGTGCTCTGTCCAGCCTACGCGCACACTCACACTTTACCAGTGCTACCTTTGTATCCTGACACCATTGCACCGAGTCCTTATCAGCAGCACGCTTCTCCTCTGAGGTGTATTCGTTGATGAATAACAATGTTGGTACTAAAGGTCAACCAAGTTACATTCTGGTAGGTTTCAGATGTTTTTACAGTGAATGAACGGTGTTCGTTTTAACCATATAAAACAAACAAAATCACATGTAGTTTTAAAGACCCAAACGGCTACATACACCTTTTAAATGTCAACTGACAGAGCACACCATCAAGCCGAATAGAGAAATAAATGTCAATAAATTTCTGTTCTGTCCAGAAAAAGAATAAAACTTAAAGATATAAAACCTACCAGTTCATGAGCCTTAGCAGATAAAAATATATAGTGTCCACTCAACTTCGGTAGTCCAAAAAGCTCAGGAAGACGAGGCGAGGAACAAAACAGTGGAGCAGAAATGAAGGAAATGAAGAGAAGGAAGGGTAAAAGATCAACTAATAGAGGTTAGAAGAGAAGGCGTGCCTATTGGTGTATGATATAAAAGGTTGTTTGCACTTCTGTAAAAAGACTGGGACAGTGTGGGATTAAAAAAAGAGCAAAAAACACGAGGTCTGGACTAAAGTCCAGTGCTATGCAAAGATGCTGCATATCACTGCACTTTGTCCAGCATATAACAATAAAAGAAGTGTACTTTCCACAATCTAATCTCCTTTTTGATGAGGGGTTTGTGCAGACAGATATAAAGCAATAATGAAAAGAAATGCAATTTCCTGATAAATTTTGTATCAGGGTAACTTCATAGATAATATAAATCATTAAATGCTTTGGACATGTAAAAGTTCATCTGGCAATGCAGAAGTAATGCGAGTGAAGTGGTTGCAGGGATAGTTGCAGAGGCATACTGCACCGTGAAATCATCTGTGAACTCCTCAATGATCAAATTCTTATCATGAAGCAACTTTGGCACTAGGATGTTTTATCAGCATGATGACATTTTTATTGATCTAAAGCAAGACTGTAACCTTTAGCTGATTAATCAGTAACAGCATTAGCCGTTTTTGTACTTAGTTTTTAAAGCATTATCCAGTGATGGATTTTCACATCAGAAAAATGTTCCTTTTATGTCTTATGTAATAGAAACCAAAAATATTTTGGACTGTTGGTTTGGCAACATCACCACCTTGATACTTTGAACTATTGAAAATATGGTGAGGATATTCAATATTTTCTGTCATTTTATAGGCCAACCAGAAATTCATAAATATGATGGAAATACTCTTGAGCGACAGCCTTGATCCAAAATTACCCCAATATCATCAAAAGATGTCGATTTTTAATTGCTTTTTAAAAATTAAAGCTCACTCTAGCTACTTGTGCAGCCACATATTGCATTTGTTAGCATTATCCACCTCTGGTAGAAGACGTTAGATCTTAGCAGTAGAATGGTATCATGGGTCAACGCAGTTATCACACACTGAGAAGCAACTGTCAAAATGCATGTGATCACAGCTCACCACGCCATAATGAAGCTAAAGTATTATATAGCAGTTGCGTGGTAAAAGGGCATTTTTGACATTGATCTAAATAGCCAGTCCACCCACGCTGCACATTAGCCTAGCTGAATTTCTGAGAATTCCTTTTGGGGCTGGGGGAAGAAAAAGAAAAATTGCAATTCCAACAGCGGTTACATGACAAAAAAGAAGGCCTCAAAATTGTTACTGCAGCTGTCTAGTGGCTGAAACACCAGCCTGGAGTCCTATAAGAACAAGTGTGCCTCTAGTTCAGCAGGCAGTCAGCCAGGCCACCATTCAGCACAACAACACATTGCAAGAGACACGGGTTCTGAGCTGCTCTAGGTGCTCCACATGGCTCCCTGCCTGCATGAATGACTAGAAGGAACATTCAGTGGGGGTCTCATCAGGAAAAGGTAAACATACACACATGCACACAATCACACACACACTTTCCCACCCACAACCTCTTGCCAAAAATAGAATACCCCACAAGATGACAGGCTCACTTGCACGTGCAGATCAGAATTTAACACAAAATATACACATACGGATACAAACGCGCACATCATCTTAACCTAACCTATTTACAGACACAGGGCTGTAGATATCAAAGGGTTGTGCTTTCTTTTGGGATTTCCTCCTTTCTCATGTTTTAAGGGGAAATAGATGAAAACGAATCCCGTTCTCCTTGCACCTCCCCTGTGTATGTGAGTGTGAGTGTCTCCTCTGACTTGTTAATGTGCTACATTTTAAATTGGTCCTGCTAAGCAATGTGTGTAAGACTGTCTTTTTCATGCAAAGAGGAACCAGCAGCTTTTCCGACAGACTGTGGATATGCCTTTATCACCAAACCTGCACTCTGATTCCACCTCTGTGTCTGCATGTCTGACTGACTGATCCTCTCACTGCCTCCTTCATCTCTACTCCCTTGTTCTACTACAGCAACCCACATCATTCTCAGCTTCTCTATTTACACATGCCCAAACTATTTGCTGATGTGTAAGGTTGGATTTACGGTGTGACATCGTTTAGTAATGCATCCTTTTATTTGGTTGTGCTGTGGCCTTTCTCCTATTTGTCTCTGAAGCGGTATGACTTCAGATGGCCTTCACACAGGCAGACCTGCTGGATGTTATTTCCCATTCCCAACACTAAGCAACATGTGGAAGTGGAATTGTAGCTTCATCCCTCACAGGAATGATTCAGTGATTTATGGTTGCTTGTAGTGAAAAGAAACAGGCAATTGTCAGCAATATGGAAATGGATTTTCACGAATGACGGAGCACAGTGCAAACATACACCATACCCCGTGACTACCATTTCCCTGACCCCTCAGATACAAAAAAAATATAACTTTTATTCATTTTCATGGGGTCTTTACCTATTTAATTTTATGCATCAGTGGTGGGTGAATGAATAAATAAATTGTGTACACGGAATGACAGAAGGCACAATAAAGAAGTGCATAGGAGGTTTTGCAATGGAGGTAGAGAAATGAACCATGCTTGGCTAAATACTGGCATAATTTAGAGTTTGGCCCGTTGCAGTCAGAATATCCCCAGCAGCTCTAAAGCCAGAGGTCACTCTTTTTTTCTACAAAACCATCATCACTGCATTCTGGTGCTGGCCTGGTAAAAGTGTCTACTCAATATGATTTAGATCCCTTACAGCCCCTCTGGACGCCCATCAGCAGAGCCTAAAGTGAGTGATGGATTTGCTACATATGTGGAGTGGAAGAGAAGAGAGGAGGATTCTGGTGCATAAAAATAGAGCCAGAGCCTGCTGGAGCACAAGAGTAAGACTTAATGAGGGATGCAATCATCAATTATTCAAAACACTTAATCATGGTGTCGCACGGTGCTGTTGCACAAACACATGTGCACACACACACGCACACACACGGACATACCACAGGCTTGTCAAACTGTGCCTCTAAAGGCAGACATTGAGAGAGAGATTGATGGATGTAAAGGGGAATACAGACATGGGATTACTGTTGCTTTATTGTGTATGTGGACATTTTCTCCTACAAATATTACACAATAAAAAAAATTGGATGAAACCTCGCCCACTGCTTATATACAAGTTTTATTATAATCATAATTATCTCTTTAGATATAATCAATAAATTGGTCTTAGTACTGTAATTGATTCAATATATTAGTTATAATGTATTAGCTACTAAAAACCTGCTGTAGTACCAGCAAGTGCCAGTAGCTGGAGACACTTACTCTGACATGAAAAGAAAAAAACTTATCTGACTGCACTCCAGTTGAGCTATTTGAAGGAAAACATCTATAATGCTAATAGAAGCCACAGCTGAATATATAAGTTGCAGATGTCTATGGGGGATTATTTTGCAGATGCCTGCGCAGAGTCAGTCAGACCAGTTGGACCAGTGGATACCTGCTGATGTGTAAACTGTAACAATCCTGTCAGAAAACTGAGAGCTTATGTTGCAAATGTTCACATCAACTTTGCCTTAATTTCACCCATTTCCAACACTTACCATTACCAGCACAATAATGTGATGAACTACCAGAGACATTGGCCCGCTTTGTCTATGAATGCATTTCAGTGGAATACTGCAAAAAACTGACTGACAAAGGTTGTGCGATATTATTTGTGGACATCTGTTGGATCTGAACAGCTGTCTCCAGCAGCTGTACTGACATTAACTATGATAAACAAAGCACGATCCCATCTTGCAGATACCGTATGCATATTTTATATTAACAGTTAAAACTATTTGATGTGAAGCCATGAGGAGAATACAACTTGAGCACTTCATCACCATTAATAGATTAAAAATGGTTCTGACTGTAATTGTTAGATATGGCCAACAAATCTAGTCAGATCTAATTTATATCCTCCACTGAAGCCATAAAGTTGTGTAGCCATTTGATTTGATGTCATTTTTTTCTTGTTCAAACTATGGAAATTGCAGACATTTTGCATACTGTTCAGAGGCACCTGCCAGCTGGTTGATTTAACATTAACCTAGCTTACCCCTGCTACATGCTGCTCATCTCTCTAGGTATTTCAATCGAGTTGACTGAAGTACAGTAAGAGATTTTCAAGTTTGATTTATGCATCCATAGCCACTTTACAGGTTTTCAATAACATCAACAACACACAGACTCCTGACAGATTAAACAGTAAGTAAATGATTGCTATTATAGTGTTAGATGCTTGAGAAATTAGCACATGTAAAGAAGTAATTTTGATACATTTTGAACAGTGCTCCTGGTTGGCACTGGTCTGATCCATGATGCTACAATATGCAACTTAAAGGAGTAACTAATCTGCTAGTAAGTATCCAAGTATTGATTGTTTTTTAATAACCCAACAGGAAGCTGGAGCTACTGCGATGGACTGCAAAGAACCAAAAACACATCGGGCATGGTCATAATTAATGTGGATCATTACAGTATTTTCATATGCCCAGTAGTGGTACTCTTTGTAGCATCTCACGAGGATGTTTTAGTTCTTGTAGGTGTAAAATCCCAAAGTTCTGCCTAATCTCTCTACTTGCTTTTGAGTCAGAAAGGAAAGACAGGATACAGAGAAGGGAAAGAACTAGATGTTTGCAGAGCAGAGAAAGTAGAGACTAAAAGAAGCTAAGAATGCTTCAGGCTAGACCTTCAAAAGTGACATCCCAAAACTTCTTCAACTGCAAGCCGCTGGCGAGCCTTAACTCAACAGCTCACTGCCTGCAATTGGTACCAAGACACACATCTGGAGAATTTTACGAATGTCTATGTCAGTCAATCTGTCAGAGCAGAGCAGCAGGAACAGATTCTCCACCTCTGGTCTCTGAGGCCAGTTAGTGCGCTGAGGGAATGCCTAGGTTGAACCCCAGGAAGAAATTCCCAAGGGGGTAGAAACGCATCTCCCACCTAGCACTCCCCTGTGCTACCTTGTACCGCTAATGGCCATCAGTCAGTTACAGCTCCTGCCTCCTGCCCGTGTGTCTAATCGCCCACGCACACTGTCACAGTCGCCTGCCCTTCCAGTTAATACAGACAGCCAAACAAAATCAATCTTAACCGAGCGTCCGTGTTTGATAAGGCCTTGTTGTTTTTTATGGACTCTGACAACATGATCCGCTCCCACCCACTTCACATGGGAGTAACAGCTCCAAATCTAGCACAGCAGGTTGGCTATTTAACACTTTCATATCTTACAGTTGTTATGTACTTTCTGGAGATCCATCCATCTTTCTTTCACAAAGACAGACATGCACATGGCACACCAAGCCCAGATGAAGAATACAGCATCCACTGATGTCATCAGCCTGAAAGTGAATCACAGCAGGATTGTCATAGTCAGGACACGATTTGCATAATTTCCTTCTTTGAATTCCCAACTCTTTTGAACTTGTGGGCAACCATTTCCAGCCAAACACACACACACAAGTACACAAACTATGACAACGTGCAAAAATCTCTGTGAAAGTTTCCTGGAGGTGAAAACTTTCTGCCAGCTCTTGAAATAGCCCCTTTTAGCACCCCATGGTCTATTGGACTGCTGGGCTGTCTGAACACTCACAGAGCGGAGGGGCTATTGGCATTCACTTCCCCACGGGGCTCGGAGTCGATACAAAGCTCTTAAAACTCAGAAAATGCTGTGTGTGTTTCTGAGAGTGAGTGTTTGTATATGTGTATATGAGACCGAAAACAGAAGAAAGAAGGAAGGGATGTTAACATTCATATAAAAGTCATGCAAAAGAAGCCGTGCAATAGTTAAAGACAGATGTTCAGCTACACACACAGACAGTATCGGTGCGAAACATCCATGCTTGCTTCTGTATGTGCAACCATTTTCACACAAACACTTTGATGTCCTTTTTCACTTGAAGCACACAACAAGAGACGAACTACTTCCGATGAATTCTCACTATCTACAAGACTCCATTCAGTTTAGATGATGGTGCTTACCTGGGTAGCAGGTAGAAGAGAATAGAGGAAGCAGTACACACGACACCCACCGAGTGATTTCACAGCTGTTCTCATACTGGTAGAACTGGGCATAATCTGATATCACACAGGCTTTATACCAATATAGCTGACAGGCTAAGAGACGACTGATGTCCGATCCAAATGCATCGAGCGTTTGCATTCTCACACGTTTCTCTGTCACGTCTTGGTAAACATCTAGAAAAGTTCAGGTCTGCAAGTGCACGTGTGAAAATGGCTTATGTGTATGTGGCACAGGTAATGATTGTGTGCTTAAACAGAGCTCCACCCCACTGGGCCTCAGCCTTTTAGTGTCATCCATCATGGTGATGCTGCTAATGATACCAATACATACACCAGCACAGAGGGAAGAGGTGGAAGGAAAGCAAAAGGGGGGGCAGGGAGAAAAGAAGAGGAGAGGAAAAATGGTGATGCAAAAGGTAAAGGAACAACAAGAATTCTAATATTATTATTTTAATGTCAGTTGGGTTACATAAAGATCATTGTCACGTAAATAAAGCGAATTTTAATTTACATTTGCATTTGAGAGGGAAGGCTGAAGAGGAGGAGGAGGGAGAGGAGAGAGAGAGTGCTGGTAGAGAAGAGGCAACCAGCATGAAGAGGGAAGGAAATGTGCTGTCACAGGCTGAGAAGTGGAAGATAATCTGTGTGACTGGAATAGGCAATCTGATTCTCCCTTTCCTCCTCCTTGCTCTCTTTCTCTCTGAAACACACACTAAAACACAAACACACACAGTGTATACACAACACTGCCCGCTGCCAAACTCACAGAAAAGCTGAGGCTGACTGTGTGCCCTGCATGAGCTCCATTGCATCTGTGTGGATTAATATCACAGCCAGTAGATTCTACTTCAGGAATAAGACACATAAAATTAATTGTAGCATTTGCTTCTATTAAGAGAGAATAAAATTTGAATGGAAACGTGAAGAAGAAATATTCTTATTTTTAGGATTTTTGCACCCTGAAAATACTACCAGTGCTAGATTGGACTTTTTTAATGTCTCACTGAATTTATGTGGTTAAACAGGAAAGAACACCTACATTCATAAATGTCTCAAAATGTCACATTTAAGTCTTACAACGGCAGAGCTACTGAACAAGAAATTAATGTTGGAGTAGTGCATTTGAAAGAACAAAAAGATAACCGCTCAAGGATTTCTTTGACTTGCTGGAATACAAATGTGATTATTTGATCAGTTAAAAGGCTTTTTTTTTTTTTGTTTAATTCTACTACATTCTTAAAAAGGTCTCTCAAATCATCACAAATGTTTAAATATTTAAAGTTATATAAGCATCATAATACTAAAAATTTGGTTTTACAGTATTTAAATAAATACATGCATCTATTGTGCATGGAAATCCCCTCCATAGCATCATAACAGTATATTTTTTAGGTCAATTTTGATTGAAAATTTGTATTTTCCAAACCACCTCGACTACCTCACTCAGAATTCAGCTAGATTAGTCATGAGAGAGGCTGTGAGGAAAAAGGCTGGAGTATTTCTTTCTTCCTTCTCATCTCACTCCCAAGACACGTTGTCCTCTTCACTTCCAGGAGCAGGATGAAGGCCAGCGGGGGTTTTAAATTAGCCTATCAGATGCCTCCACCAGCTAAAGGAGAATTCTGAATATACTAATAGACAGGAGATTAAGATATGTAGCTTGGGGCACAGCCACATCTCCACACACATTTATATTTTACAGACACACACACACACATTCATATACTCACAGACATACACTAAAACCTTTTTATTCAATGATTACAGAGGACAAAATGATCATTTCAGATCTCAAGAGCAGAGGCAGCTTTTCAGAATGTTACGGTGTCTTTGATAAGGATATGGGTAATGATGAGGATTATTTCTTATGTGAAGCTGGACGAGAAAAAGAGATAAAAAAGATGCAGATGTGAGTATGTATAATGATATACAGAGAGCATAGAGAGAGGCTCACTAGATTACACAGTACTATCTGCTCCAGGCAGAAAGCACAGGTGAGGAAATCCCTCCTTTTCTCGCTCCTTCCTCTTATGTCCTCCATCTTTCCCTCAGCCCTATTCCCGTTATCGCAGCTGTACACAAACAGGTACAGCTCCCCTGACCCGGCAACACCCCCTAAATCTCCCTGTCCTCGATCTGCTTTAACAATCTACCCATGAAAAATATCATTCCTCCCTCTTCTTTGTCTTCTCCTCTGTGTTTCCCTGTGTGTCTGATTGCTCATCTTTCTTCATTGCTCTGCCTGCCTCTCTCCCAGGGCTTGCCATCTGTACAGTAACAGGTGTGCTGTGTATGTGACTGATGTGTTTGTTACCTGTAGCACTGCCTGCAGCCACAGCCTGCATGGAGAATAGCTGCTTCTATCTGACCTACTAGGTAATGCTCTGCTCTCCTTTCACTAATCCTCCTCCCGTGACTCCTTCGGATGGCGACAGAGTAAAGAGAAGAGTAGGAGACGAGTGCGTAATGAGTTAAAGAAGCAACGGCAAGCTGTTGTGTATTTGCATACGCATTTCAATGAGGCTTACTAGTTGTGCTGTGGCAGTGTGTTCACCGTAGTAGAGTTTGGGTAATTAGTCCCACCAGTCTGTGGGTGTGCATGTACATGTGAGCACATATGGGTGTGTTTGTGTGGTGTGGTCTCATTAGTCACACAGGTGAGTGATTAAATGCTCTGCAACACCTGGAATTGTTCCCCGTTTCTTCCTTCCCTCCCTTTTCTGCTGTTGTCTTAATTTACAGCAACACCCTTGAGAATCTTCCTGCCCCAGTCACAAAGCACACTTGAGAATGGCTCCACAAACTTAATGACAAACACGTCAATGCTTAAGCCATCCGATGAGGTGTGGCTGTTTCAGTATGAGGTGTTTCAATAATTGCCACAGTCTTAATCGTCCATAAAGAAATCATCCATTTATATAGTCCAGATCACCACTTGAAAAATGGCAAAAAAAAATCATATTTTGAATGGTTGGATCTTCACAAGGTTCCAAGTAGAGCTTCAACATGCAACAAGAAGAAATGGGAATGAGACAAAACATTTTTTTGAGCATGCAGTTTATTGAAAATAATACTTAAACTGAAACAGCCCGTTTTACAGCCGATCAAAAGTTTAGGACCACATGCCTTTAAAAGGCCAAATCTGTGCAAAAATGTGGACTCATTGTCATTTCCTGTCAGATAGTCATACTGTCATGACGTTTTGATGGCATAGGTAAAAAAGCTTTCCCATTCTAAATGTGGTTGGGTTGTTGAACTGAATAAGCAGGGTGTCTACAGTAAGACAGTTATTTGGAATTTCTTAAATGATCCTAAGTGTTTTGGAACAAAGAAGTCAAGTGGAGGACCCAAAAAGATTTCACCAGCACTGAGCCGGAGGATCCAATTAGCTGTCTGTCAAGACACTGGACGATCCTCGACCCAAATTAAGGCTGACTGTAGCCCCATAACCATCAGACGCCATCTGAGACTGAAGGGCTTCAAAAAAAAATTAAAATTAAAATTAAAAAATTAAAAAAAAACTCTTCAAAGCCCTCGTCCCTTTGAACACCACAGAACTGACTGTTTGAACTTTCTTCCAGCTTTGAATGTCCCATGTTTGGTGCTCTTTTGCAAAGTTTTATTCTCTGATGAGAAAAGAATTTAACATTGATGAACCTGATGGTTTCCAATGTTACTGACATGACAAGGAAATCCCACCTGAGATGTTTTCTATGCGCCACAGTGGTCCCCAGACATAATGGTCTGGGGTGCTTTTTCCTTCAGTGGAACAATGGAGCTTCAAGAAGTGCGGAGGCATCAAACAGCCGCTGGCTATGTCCAGAGGTTGCAGAGAGCATCCCTCATGACTGAGGGCCCTCGTCTGTGTGGTAACGATTGGTGATCTAAATCAACTTGAGAACCTTTGGGGATGGATGGCAAGGGAAGTTTACAAAAATGTACAACAGTTCCAGAGAGTAGATGTCCTTTGTGCCGTCTTCACCACTTGGAGAAATGTTCCTACTCACCCCGTGGAAATGCTTACATCAAGCATGGCGCAACAGATTATTGAAGTGATCAACAATAAAGGTGGAGCTACTCATTACTGAGTTCATGTCTGGAACTTTGATTTCTGTGTTGGTGGGGTTATGGGGTTTTTTTTGGACGTGTGGTCTTAAACTTTTGATCAGCTGTAAAACAGCCTGTTTCAGTTTAAGCGTTGTTTTCAATAAATTGCATGCTCAATGCTCAAAAAAATGTTTCGTCTCACTCCCATTTCTTTTTGTTGCATGTTGAAGCTCTACTTGGAACCTTGTTAAGATCCAACCATGCAAAATTAATTTTTTTGCCTTTTTTTTTAAGTGTTCTTAAACTTTTAATCGGGACTGTCTTAAACAATACCGTGTAAACAGTGTAGTTTTTATAAGAATTTGTTTTCACAAGTGTGGAATACAGCTGTAGAAATGAAATCATATTTTAACCAATCTGTAATAATGTCCATCTATCCTTTAAAGTTTGGTACTTTGAAATGATACTCTACAGGAACTGACTCAGTTTTGGAGCCAACTTCATGTGGCCAGTAAATTTCTCTTTTACATTGGCTTTATATATTTACATGGATATTCACGCTTGCTTCTTGATGTAAGACAGTGTAAAACGTGGACATAGCTACCGTGATATCACCCACTGATTTCTGAAAGGTTGAAATGAATGTTTCAACTATTGCTATCTTGGTGGCATAAAAGCAGAAGTGATAACGAAGGATGGCTCTGACTGTGAGGTTATCCAACACCGAAGTTGTTTTGTTACCGTTTGTGCTTCTTCACTGCAACATTGTACTCAAATCGCTTTAGTGTTTAGCTCAGTAATTTGCTGAACTTCAGCTGTTTCAAACCCCCCAAAAAAATAAAAAAAGAAGAAGTGCTTTCACTTTT